ACTGGCTTTTAAAGGGGCTCCCCTGAAGATGGTTTTTCCTTAATATTTCCGAAACGTGTTGAGACAAATACATAAAATTTGGTATGCTAGCCTAGTTTCTAATGCTGGATTTAAAAATATTAACAATTTTAGACAGTTTTGTTTTGTAACGTATATTTAGCCCCAAATTTTTGTGTGATTCTATTTTTGAAATTCATTTAGAATTTTCTTTCTACTAAAACTACTCTATTAAATATCGATAAATTGTGCCATTTTTGAATAAAATCAAACTAAAAAATTTGTCACATGATAGGAAATGTACTGCGAATTTAAATGAATCTTGAATAATTAGCCATGGCAACGAAAAAACTAATTTAATAATTGGTAAATATTACATAAATACATATTTCTATTGCAACATACCTAACATTTAGGCAAAAAAAAATAAATAATTTTTTCTACGAACGAAATTGAAATTTTTTTAAAAAAGTAGACATACAGTTGGATATACTTAAAAGTAGCTTTACAATAAGTGTTCAAATAAATTCTCATTTTGTTGGATACAGAGTCTCGCTCGACGAACTAATGATAGCGTAGCCCGAAAAGTGGAAAACCTTTTTCTTCTTATTTGATTTGCAGCCTGATGGATTCTTTGAAGTAAATCTTCTTGAGTATTTACTTCAGTCGAGTAAGCTAGGTCTTTTAATGACCCCCAAAATAGAAATCCAATGGATTTAGGTCATGTGAACCTGGCGGCCACGCTATAGGACCTCCTCGGCCTAACCACCTGTCTGGAAAACTGACATTCAACCAATTTCAAACATTGCGTCCAAAATGTACAGGGGCGCCATCATGTTGAAAAAAAATATTTTCTTGAAACTGCTGGCGCACATCCAATGGTATTATATCCATGAACTCATTCTGAAGAAAGTTCAGATACACCTCTGAATTAAGACGATTGGGAAGTACAATAGGCCCAATTACTTGGTCCTTAATTACTCCTGCCCATTAGTTCAATGAAAATCTATGTTGGAAATTTGTGCGGCGAACAACATTTGGACTTTCATCTGACAAGTGAAATTAAAAGCACCATTCCTAGTACATATTGACTCATCCGACCATAATATTCTAGGGATAGTGTTTCCATTTGCTAATATCCACTGGCAAAACTCGATTCGTGGTAAAAATTCTGCATCCGATACATGCTGCAGACGTTTAAAATGATAAGGATTGTAACCCTTGCATTCTTGTCATTCTCCTATCTAAAATTATTATTTTTAGGATAAACTATCAAATAGGTATTCATAAATTTTCCTTACTATTGATCGAGGTATATCTATAATTCTGAAACATTTCGTATGCTTATTTGCGGATTATTTTCAAACATATTTAAAGCAATATCCATACGATGATTTCCCAGTGGCCTTCCTGAGCCCTGCATACGCTGAAAACTTCCATGGTTTGACAAATTCCGGTGAATATCAGTCAACATTCGACGTCCAGGTACTATGCGATTGGGGAAATCTTCTTTGATATTCTCTTCCGGCTGCCAATGAACTGCCATTGCAGAACCCGTACACAAAATGCATGTCAGTCAGTTCTCTGTCTGTAAATCTCGGAATTTTAAATCGATTTAATAAAAGTTTTGATTTTAATCTAGTAATTTTACACAGCTAACAATGTCAGCTTAACGTCAAAATAAGTCATAACAAATCAAAACAACTTTTGTTTGCAGTCATGGCTAACTATGTATAATCAACAATCCATTCAAATTCGCACTACATTTCCTACCATGTGACAAGTTTTTTAGTTTGATTTTATTCAAAAATGGCACAATTTACCGATATTCAATAAGAGTACCTTTTTTATGTAGAAAACCCTAAATTTTCAAATTCTAAAATTGAATTTCAAAAATAGAATCACACAAAAATTTTGGGTCTAAAATAACCTGAGTCCGTCCCTGTTACATATGCTTCCAAACAAAACTGTCTAAAATTGATAATATTTTTAAATCCAGCATAAAAAACTAGGCTAGGATACCAAAGTTTTTGTCTTTATCTCAAATATTCAGAAAAAACCATCTTCAGGGGAGCCCCTTTAAAAGACCGTAGCGCCCTTAGGGGACGTTTGTCGACCTATGTTTATATAAACTTTTCTTCCTATTTTAAGCTCGAGAAACCGCTGGTAGAATATTGCACACTTTTTTCGGGACACCCTGTATAAAATATGATAAGCTTTGTGCTAATTCCTTACTGATGGATGGGAAATTATTGAAAGCACGACGTGGCGATTGCTTAAGCCGATAGGCCGATGTGCAGATGCCACAGATTCAAAACTGTTACTCTGCTAAGATCCTTGCAGTCTTGATGTTGTCTTTTATCTGCCTTTGCTCAACCATTTTTTTTTTTACTTAAAGCTAGCGAATAAAAGTTACTTTAAGTTGGTAATATTACTAACCAAATTGGCCTACCTTATAATCGGCAGCTTCAGCAAGCTGTGAATTCAACTCCCTGATCTGGCTCTTAGCTTCGGCCAGCTGGAGTTGAAGCCTATCGACTTGCTTCACAAGCTTCTTTACTCTAACATTTGCTTCGTCTCTTTCCTGCTGCAAGAGGCACTTGGCTTTTGTTGTATCCTCTTGCAAAGACAGCTTTCTTCTTAGCAAATCTAGGTGCAACTCTTTTCTTTGGAGCTGCTCTCGCAGGTTGCGTACTCTGCGTTGAAGTTGGTATACCATTGCAGTCTGTTGGAGAAAGTTGAAGGTGGCTTGCGTGATCCAAAATCATTTTTGCAAAATAATTGACTTCTTCCAAGCTCAAAAAATAGCGTAAACAAAAACTGGCAAGTAGTTGTAGTTGGCGAACTTCTCTGAATTGCAAGGATTGCAAGACCTCTCGAAGCATCCATCTTCGACGAAGATATTCAGTGGAGCGACAAAGTCAAATATCTGGGGATCGTATTTGACAAGCCCCTCACCTGGAGAGACCACATAGAAGCTGTCATCGTAAAGACCAGAGCAGCCATGGCCCAACTCTACCCATAACTGGGTAGACACAGCCGGATGCCGCTAGCGACCAAGCTACGGCTAATCAAGGCCATCGCCAGACCTCAGCTCGCTTACGCCTCCGCGGTCTAGGGGTACGCTGCTCCCAGCTACCGCAAGCGACTTGCTGCTCTAGAGATGAAGCTACTCCGGATCGCCACCAGTGCACCATCTTACGTAAGAAACTCAACCTTGCGTAGAGACCTGCATTGGGACACCATTCACGAGTACATGAGGAAAAAAGCGGAGAAGACCTTCCAGAAAGCTCAGGACCACCCGAACGAGCAGCTACGACTCCTCATGGACTACGATCTGGACGAGAGGCCTCACAACCGCAGATCCTAGTACCCTAGACCAGGATCCCAGTTGGCACCCGCTAACTAGAACCTTGACTAGGGGAGACTAGGAGAACCCGCAGTTGCTTCCCCCCCCTCCCCCAAGGCCTGGAAGCAGAGGACGAGGAATAGGACGACCACGACCAGATCCCATCAGGACCAGGAACCACCAGGACCAGGACCTATCAGGACCAGGACCAGAACCAGGACCCTTCAGGACCAGGTAACATACAAGTAGTAGAGGACTTGAAACTCTTGATTTTTCGAAAACAAGAGTTTCAAGAGAACATAGCAAACCCTATATCGATGCTCGCTTAACGACATCGATAGAACTGTGCGAGGTAAAGGGAACCAACCCGGCGTTCCCAGAGACTGAAACACATGAGGAGACGTTGTAGCAGACCGCAGGTCACGCACAACACATGGTCTACCGAGACGCTGATGAGTCGGGCCACGTGGAGGTTAGGGTTTAGTGGGTATTAGGTGGTCTCCTCAAGACAACCTGGAGTCCCACACACGCCGTAGCTCGGGCTATGGTATGGTGCATAAAAGCATTCCCCCATCACCAAAAAAAAAAATAGCGGAACAATAGATCTCAAATATCTGAGATGAGATAAGCTTTCAATTAATAAACCTTAATATTTAAGCACCATTTTTGTATTTCAGCCACAAGTTATTGGAAAAGTATCGCTCAACCGATATCTGAGAAACTATGAACTTTTATATTTCATGTTAGGGAAACTTATAACAAGAAGCAAAAAAAAGTTTCACCGATTTCAGAGAATCATAGCTGTTATTTTGAACAAGTCAATAATGCAAAGAATGTGTGTCTACCAGGCAGAAAGCAAGTGTGGAAAAATCGTTGGCAAGCCTAAAAGCAGAGAACGACCTATATTCTTAATTAGTTCATTACGAGTATTATTCATAAAAGTATTGCTCTCGTCAATACAAGAATATCATTTTCCCTACTCCTCCGCATGTAGCTTATCCTACTTAAAATTGTTCCAGAAGGCTTCACATTAATATTTTAATATTTTCAGACATGTTATGTATACGGAAGTCTACTTGTATCTAACGTGAAGGCATGACGCTAAAATTTTGATAATAACTAAGGGTTTACTTGTCTTACATTCTTCCTACACCAGTGCCATAAATTAAAGCTGCAAGTTTTATCTCGTTTCCTCAAAATTTCATGACCCATAGTGATAAAGAACATTATTCAGCAACTTCAAAGTTGTTTCTTTGCAAGTTTTTGTTCCCTTCCCAAGAGGCGAATTTTAACATGTTATCTGCGTAATAAAAAGTGAGCGTACTACTGCCCGCATTGCCAAAGGCAGGTGCCCTTTGACCTTTGTTGTGCTTAGAGCTGCGTCATGCTCTAGTTCAGTGGTCGCCAACATATTTTAAAAAGGTGTAAAAATCATAGAAGCTTCCGTTAATTTTGTAAATTTTCATATTAAGCGCAAGCAGCGGCAACACTGCGATGAGCGATCTGTTCGAGAACGATCTCGATTACAGTGCGCTTAGTTTAAAACTGAACAGCACAAAGTCCAGCGGTTGGGTTAGAGTTGGTCTGCAATTAAAAACATTATGACCAGTAGTAAGAAGATTCGGAATGTGAAGAACAATACTTCTTTCTTAATATCATGTAGAAACAATCTCTAACTCGAAGGATAACTTTAAAAATCGTTACAAGGATTTCAACGAAATTGCTATAGTGGCTCAATTTGTTGTTTCACCCTTAATATCCAACAGTTTGCAGCTTCTGTTATGCAGAATTTTACTACGTTTGAAAACGATTTAGCTTTGAATTCATTAGTCTCAAATACAAAATATATCTGGCCTTCAGTGATTGAAGATACACATTCAGTTTTATGTCGTGTTGCCTTGAAAGTGAAAGCGTTATTTCGTTCAACCTACTTGTGTGAATCTTCTTGGTCAAATATGAAGTTTATTAAAAACAAATACAGTAATCGACAGATGAACATTTGGATAATTGTATCGACTGGCTGTATCAAATTACTCTCCAAACATTAAAAAATTGTCAGTCAGACTGAGTGTCAGGTTTCTCATTGAATAGGCATTTTTTATCTGGACATGTTTTTGTTTGAAATAGTGCGTTGCTTTTTTTTAATTTTTAGTTAGGTACCTTTATTAAATCGTATGTGACATGCCATTGTAGGTGAATTTTGCTTACTGACGATACTGACGAACTGTTAACTGGAAAGCTTGGCGACCACTGCTCTAGTTCATTCTCAAACCAAGCTTTACGATGCCGGAAATGAATTTTTCTAAAGCTATAGACTTTTCAGCTTTACGTATATCAGTGAAAAAGGCGTTTCGACAGTTTTACGATAATAACTACAAGTACTGGCAATTTTTATTTTTCAATAGTTGAAACGTTGAAACCTTACTTTCATCGGGTACACTACAGCTTCCCTAATATGATTACATGGTTGGTGGTTTGAATATAACGCAGGTCAACATTTCATCTGAGGCTTCACTGGACCCGATAAAGGTAACTTATTGTGTTTTTTTTTTTGGGTGGGGGCGGTCTCAATGCCAAAGTCGGTTAACCTTCATTATGTCAGGTTGACGGTCATAACAAGGTCAATTTTATTTCCAAAAGATTTTTGACGGTTGCTCTACCTAGAGAGGTCGTCCATAGGTTGTTTCAACGTCAGATAAAAAAAAAAAGTGAGCTTATCTGAAAACACACAGGTTTTGGGTGTCGCTGGTCGCTGAATCTGAATATGTGATTTGTTTAACCAGGTGAGGTGATCTAGAAGTTATTCCAGGGTCGGAATAAGGTTACTTCAATGTCAGAGGGGATGATCTGAGTGATCAAAACAAACTCCAGACTAAATCTCAGACACCACAGATACATTTTTTAAATCTCTTTTTCTTGTGGACTTTGCCCTAAAAAAAATTTGAACCTGACGCCATAGTGGTCAACCGGTTATGGTATTGAGTTCAGCGATCCCCTAAAAACGCCTTAGGGTCCATTGATAACTCTTAGATATAATGTTGACCTTTGTAATTTGTGCAAAATTTGAAGCATCTACAGCAATTTCGAAAATCTTACATCACGCAAAGGCAGATCATGAAAAGAGCGTTCACGTCTCAAGTGGCAAAGTCGAGGCAACGTTCCATATCCACAGCAAAGCAGCTACTCACACAAAACAAGACAAACACTATTTTAGTCAGGTACCAAAATGGAGGAGATTATAATCCATGACTCTGCGTACACCACTGCCAACGCGGATCTCACCATACTCTCGCATTCACATCGGCGTACGATACGTTATTTTACTCTCTTCCATATTGATACTTGAGTACAAAACGCAACATATTTCCATTATTTATATAATTTGACCATACTGTGATGTGAATGTTTGAGAAACAAGATTTTTATAAAATTCCTCCTTATTGTACGTTTTAGTCCCAACGGTGAACTTTTTCAAGTACAATTGGCATTTTTGACAATATAGAAAGGTCACTTTTGGGGCCGAAAGTCATGTAATGAAGAGGAATTTTAAAAATATAGGTAGTTTGATTTGGCCAGACAGACATGGCGGATTAACAGCATGAAAACCACTACAATAGTATAGTAATGTAGTAACGATAGTGTTATTAGTACTTTCGAATCATCATAAGTTCTAACTTTTTAGGTTTGACTACGGGCCACTTATATGGCCTCCCCGATTTTCATAGGGGTGTTTCTAAATTTGTACTGTTCCGTATCAGCACTCTATTTCGAGGTTATGTTTTCTTTTTAAATTCTAAGAAATCCATTTTTATCATCTGTTTTATTAGCGTGAAATTTCTTAGCATTCAAAAAGAAAACATAACCTCTCAGTAGGGCAGCGCGGACTCTGACACGGAACAGTAGAAATCCAGAAATACCCAGCGTTTCTGAAGGAGAGATAATACTATAAAAATCAAGGAGTCCATAAAGGCGTCTTACAGTTACAGGAACGACTGGCGATACGGACCTAATTCCTTCTATTTTGTAGGCTAAACCCCTGTATTTGAAAGATAATTGAAGATTGTGAATTTCGGCTCCAGTAAATTTAATTTTTTTCCATGAATCAGCGTATCTGAAGAGGAAATGTGTACAATTAAATAATAATATAGAACCAGTAGTAAAAATTCTTGAAAAAATACTAATGCCAATCCCTGCACTTGTAGTTTTTCGCTTCCCTTGTAGTTGAGGTTTGTAAGGGTATTTTACCTAGATACTTCGAAATACGTGGCTTACGCCTGGAAACTTGACCTGTTTCTACGTGTCATACACAGCTCACTAAAGCGTCAAAGCAAAGCAGCAGCAGATTTTTGGAAGGCAGTACAGTACAGCCCAGCAACAATAGAAGTCCAGATTACGTCTATGAAGGTGAATAATTTTAACTATTGCCAAAATACCTGAGTTAATATAAAGACGTAAAGGAGCAACTTGAGTCTAGCAAACTCCACTCCTACAAAGAATGGAAGAAACTAGTTTTTTTCCTAAAAAAACATATGGCAAAATATCAACGCTTCCAATGAAAACGGCACGAAATAAGTTTGACAGTGTACCAGGAAATACGAGGTTATTAAAAAAGGAAATAAGCCTAAAGTAAGTACTCGTAAACAATAAAATAAGATGTTTTTTGTTTAAGTTAGGATTTTTGGAGCTCTTGCTATTCAAAATGGGAACCACCTGTTAATGACATGGATGTTCCTTAAGGCTGCAAACAAATTGATATTTTGCCATTTTCCAATATTTTCAAATATGGGGGTTCAGCCTAACGAGGGCGTGTAAGTAAACTTTCAGAAAAGTTGACATGATGATCGCATGGTTTATTTTCTTAAGGCATTGTTTACATTTTTTGTTACCATATATAATGGTATTTTTCAAAAAGCTTATATACGCACCTTATCCACCAGCTTCTCACTCTCTAGTCTAGCTAGTTGTTCCGCCCTCATCAATAACGATTCTGTGTGTAGCTCCACACCAAGGTCATGCGATATTTCATCCATGTTGAGAGCTCTTGCAAGCCGATCGAGGAAGTTCATAAACTATGGATAAAGGGAAAGCTAATTTTATAAGGAAATAGTGGTTGCAATAACGATGCAAGGGTGTAGCCACTCTAGCCCTTCATAATTGTCCACAGTCTGGACTCAAAGATTTTCATGAAGCGTTTTGCCTTGAGAGTTATGACCAAATGTTTGAATTCTGTGGCATGCTTCACAGTGCCACTGAACATGCGCACGTTTCTCATGTTGGGTGTAGAACGATCCTTGTTTGGCTCTCCAAAAAGGGAAATTCGTAGACTAACTGTGGTCCGATTATCCCACAGTAGGTGTCGTTGGTGTGTACGGGGTCCAAATCAGGGAGGCCAACAATTTTCAACCGTGACCTGCCTGGAAGCAACTGGATGCAAAGCAGCTTAGATGTCCAAACATACGGTCATAGACTATCAGTTCCTTGCCAGTAGGCTTTTTACAGAGGTCTGTATCGTAATCCCCGCTAGCTGCTTGGGAAAATGTGGGCAGATTACATTTTGAAACTTTGCTTATATAATAACTTGATTCAAAACTATATTCAATAGATCCCATTTTCCCCAAGCTCTGCCAAATAACAAAGCATCCGTATATTTATAGCGCTAACGTCTCATCCCTAATGAGACCGAAAATTCCTCGCTATAACAATAGGAAATTCTATCCAGCGGAAAATATTTTTCTCCTGAAAGCAGGAATAAAGCGTACGTAATAAAAGTGAGTGTCAACTTTCAAAGTCGTAAGATAATTCATCCTTACTGCATATTCCGACAAAGGCAGGAAGTTCAAATGGCGAAGAAAGTTGGAATTTATATTTCAGTGATATAAGTTTCTTTCGTCGTACTCTAAAGTACGTTACATGTACAGGTACCTAAGGATAAGGCATGAAATGTAGCATAAACAAAGATTGTTGATGGTGAGTTATTATAAAGCTTTTTCCTTTTAAATAAGTGTTTGGACTTTGGCGGCTAGTCTCGACGTAACTGCAGCTACAGCTACCAAACTGCGACTTAGATGTCAAATTTTATATGATTATTATGATGACGATTTTTGCAAATAATTTTTAACCTGTACACATGGCCATTATTGCGCAGACAAGCAGCTAAATGCGATCTTTCTACTCGATCACATTTCCTCCGTTACATTTCGTCCTAAAAGTATCCAACGTATGACCCTGATACCCACAAAACATGCTATCCAAATGCGGGTTATAGTAGTTTAGGCAAATGTCAGCAAAACAGACGTTGTGCCATTCCTTCATAGCTGGCGCTCACGGCTGACGTGTGTACTCTATGAACAGCGCAGGTCATGCTGGTTATTGAAACATGATGCAAGTATATTCGGAGATAATTTGAGTACTTACTGTAGCCTTATCTCTCTTAAGACCATCTCTGTGGAGCTCGCAAGCAGTTATCTCAGTGTCAGCTTTGTGAAGTCTTGCTTCCATGTGATTTTTCTCCTCTTCTAGGGCTCTAATTCTCTGATTTGCTTGTTCGCACAGTGATAGCTGCCTGGCTAGTTGCTGAGTTTCGTGGTTCAGTTTTTCACGAAGGGATTCCACTTGCTATGAAAGAAGTTTTTGACTGTAGTCAACCAAAGAGTATAACACAAAGTAGTTCTGGGTTTAATTGTAGCACTATACCTAACTAGGCACGGTGATGGACGTTTACGCTTATACTAAAATTGTCTACGGCTCGATGTATTCACGGTGTTTTCAAAGTTGAGTAATATATTTTAACAGTGCGCTGTTGAAGTTCTTCCAGTATATTTACTGCTCCATCGTCGCCAAATCTTTTAAATAGCTCCACAGAAAAAATTCGCTGGGTGTTAAATCCGGGAAGCAAGCAGGCCAAGAAAGGGTCCATTGCGCCCTATCCATCTATTCGAAAACTCATTACTTAGATGTTCATGAATTTCTCGTCTAAAATGTGGTGGAGTCCCATCATGTAGGAACCACATATTCTGTCTCACATTTAGAGGTACTTAATAATCTTTTGCTATGCAACTTTTATATAGGTGATTTTTGGTATGTCAACTCCTTTTGACGAGTCGTACAAGCAGTTGAAATATACGACTCAACTTTAAAACACTCTGTATAATGTATTTAATATATAGGATGATTACAATGTATACGATGTATGCAATGTAAATAAAGTATATATTCAATGTATAAAATGTAGGTACAATGCGTACACTGTACTCGTATACAATGTATGCAATGTATACAATGTAAACGATATGTATACTATGTATACAATGGTGTAGTCAATGTTTAAAATAACAAGTGAGGTCAGGTTTACTCCCAAACATCAAAACATTAGTGAATCGGCAGCTATAAGGGCAATATCGTGCGCACAAAAAAATCGATAAACTAAGTTTCGTTTTTGTTTAAAAATGGAAGAAAGTGTTCCGCCGAGTGCTGTATCTATCAAAAAGTTTTCTAATTCAGCTACAAGTCGCCTGAAATTGCACAGGTATAAGTTGGAAAGTATATTCCACTCAAAAAGCGTAGAAAAATGGAGTTATCTTGTTTTTGCAGTGTGCTGACGATATGCGGAGTACTTGACTGCCAAATACTCCTAGGATGTGAAATATAAGGATAACATTTTATTTACAGGTATAGAAGGCTATCGGAGAACTAGTAGCAATAACAAATTCGGGAATGAGAGGAGCTCGCTGATTGATGCTGTCACAGTGTGGCTTCTTCTATGAACGAATTTTTACTCAACGATAGCGTTCTAGATAAGCAGAAATCTATATTTCTGACGTCACCGTAATAGTTATATTTTTAATTCCGCTACCTTCTTTTAGATAGTGCCATCATAGCGTCGTATTCAGTTGTATTTCTTGCCAAATCAGTACATAATATTAGACATAATAAACTAATCCAAACAAAATAATCTTTTGATCAAAACTGAGGTTTTTGAAGATGCGTTGCCATAAATTCTTAACCTCCCCTGACAGAAGTTTCTTGGTTTTGTGAAGATGCGTTACAAAGCCTACCTTCATTTTATCGATGCGAATAAACAGACCATTCAACTTAAGTTGTCTCCATGATGTTTGCG